GCTGTGACTGCCCTGCTCTAAGCGATTTGTCCTGAATTGATACTGTCAGTTGTGTCCTGCCAGAGGTGGTATCATTACACTGCTTGTCACACAGGTGTTAGGGGTTTGATTGGTTGTAGATGTGTAAGAAGCAGAAAGCCAGCAGTCAGTGAGGAAGCAGTTGTGAGGGTGGCCATGAGAGGGCCCATAGGGGCAGAGCTCCTTGGGGCACAGGACTTGCCAAAGAGGCATGCATAGAAATTGTGAGCAAGGAAGTTACCTGATTCTGTTTGTTTCTACTGGGTTTAGAGCAGGGGTGGGCAAACTTTTTAGCCCGAGGGCCACATTGGGGATGCAAAACTGTATGGAGGGCCAGGTAGGGAAGGCTGTGTCTCCCAGACAGCCTGGCCCCTGCCTCCTATCCGACCCCTCTGACTTCTCACCCCCTGACTGCTCCCCTCAGAACCTCTGACCCACCCAACCCGCTGCTCCTTGTCCCCTAACCACCCCCTCCTGGGACCCCACCCCCATCCATCCCCCCCTGCTCCCCATCCCCCGGGATCCCCTGCCTCTTATCCAACCCCCTGGCCCCGGCCCCTATCCATACCCTCACCCCCTGACAGGCCCCCCAGGACTCCCACTCTTATTCAACCCCCAACCCTCCTTTCCCCGTCCCCTGACCGCCCCCGCCCCCAGAACCTCCGCCCCATCCAACCGTCCCCTGCTCCCCGTCCCCCGGGAGCCCCTGCCCCTTATCCAACCCCCTGACCCCAGCCCCCTTACCATGCCACTCAGAGCAGCGTGTCTGGTCGCTGCGCCGCTCGGCTGGAGCCAGACACACTGCTGCTCTGCCCTGCAGGAGCGTGCTGTCCCGCCGCCCAGAGCGCTGCCCGCGCGGGGGAGGGAGAACAGCAGGGTTGGGGCCGGGGGCTAGCCTGCCCGGCCGGGAGATCAAGGGCCAGGCAGCATGGTCCCATGGGCCGTAGTTTGCCCACCTCTGGTTTAGGGAGACAGGATTTTGTATACATTCTTTGTAAATAAAAAGGATTGTCCCAAATAAATATCTGACTCATATCATACATTTTTCCTCTTAATAGAAACAACATAGCAGGACTCCAAATATTGGCTAGCCATATGGGCCAAAAGGGGCAGCAATATAAAGCTACAGTATGATGTGCACTAAATGGTTCATCCTTAGTAGTAGTACATTTTTTTTTTTTTGGTGTTTAGTCTACAGTATCATGCCAACTACTAAAAACTGCTCCCAACATATAGATTCTTGCTTTAATTTATATAATAAGATGAAATTCTCTCTGTATGTGTTCCCTGCTTTATGGGTAATGCAGATTCATTCTATATACTTATTTTATCATTCTCTCCTCCGTCTGATCATTTCCCATTGAATCTCCTTTGAGGATTGAATCACTTTAGACTCTACACAGTGTCTTATTAACTTCAGTTAATAAATACTATCATACTCCCCTTAAAAGCTCTTACATTAGTGAGCCTTATGGACGAGGCTTGTAGTTTTCTTCTCAAAGTCATGTGTGAAGTTGTGTAATAAAGAATAAATCTGTGGAAAATATACAGTCTGAGAACTCCATTTATCCAACTGTCTTTTACCTCTTCTACTTCAAGAGAATTAAGCAAGCAAGTAAACTAATGACACATCAGTGGAGAAAGGGACGGTAGTTCTGGCTGCTGTGTAGGGGCAATTATCTGGTGCGTGTTTTAAAAAAATTTGTGATTCTGAAGTACATGGGAAATTCTCACCAATTTTAGTTATGAGGGGTATAGCCCTTTTCATAATAGCAAATACTTCCATTGTTCATATTCTCAAAATGTGGGAAGTGCATGTGCTCCCTGGATCTTCTGAATGCCTACTTTCATATTACAAAATTCTAATGACCTTCAAAGATATGCTGTGTCATATTGGAGTTCCACCAGCACAAAGCTATTCCTCTCTTAGAGCCTTTATAGTCTGTCCCCTACTTCCTGTCTATTAAATATAGTGTTTCATGTTTGTTTATTGATCTGGAAGTTGTTAGAAAGCCTTATTGCATGCATAGCCCCCCTTTCTTTGATTTTTATCATTTATGCAACCTTTTCTGCAGTTTTTGCAAGATGAAATTAAAATAGTGCCATATTTGTTCCTATAGCACTGTGGGTCGGGACCCCAAAGTGGGCCACCACCCTGTTTTAATGGGGTCACCAGAGCTGGTGTTAGACTTGCTGGGGCCCAGGGCTGAAGCCGAAGCCTGACCCCCACCGCCTGGGGCTGAAGCCTAGGGCAGTGGGCCTCTGGGGTCAGCCCCCTGCCCAGGGTCATGTAGTAATTTTTGTTGTCAGAACGGGGTCGTGTGCAATGAAGTTTGAGAACCTCTGCCATAGCAAATGAAAATATTGTCATGATGGACTGCAAGGTGGTACTATTTTATTTTGCACAAAGTCAGAAAAGCATTGGTGTTGATTGGACATCTAAAATAGTGAATGACAGTGAAAATGAGATCAGAGTCTAAAATAGGGAAAGAACAAGTCAAAAATTACTTAGACAAGTTAGATGTTTTCAAATCACTGGGGCTTGATGAAATGCATCCTAGAATACTCAAGGAGCTGACTGAGTAGATATCTGAGCCATTAGCAATTAACTTTGAAAAGTCATGGAAGACGGGAGACATTCCAGAAGACTGGAAAAGGGCAAATATAGTGCCCAGCTATAAAAAGAGAAATAAGGACATCCCAGGGAATTACAGACCAGTCAGCTTAACTTCTGTACCCAGAAAGATAATGGAGCAAATAATTCAGCATTCAGTTTGCAAACACCTATAAGATAATAAGATGATAAATAACAGTCAGCATGTATTTGTCAAGAACAAATCATGTCAAACCAACCTGATAGCTTTCTTTGACAAGGTAACAAGCCTTGTGGATAGGAGGGAAGAGATAGACGTGGTATATCTTGACTTTAGTGTAAGGCTTTTGATACTGTCTCGCATGACCTTCTCATAAACAAACTAGGGAAATACAACCTAGATGGAGCTACTATAAGGTGGGTGCATAACTGGTTGGACAGTCATTCCCAGAGAGTAGTTATCAGTGGCTCATAGTCATGCTGGAAGGGCATAATGAGTGGGGTCCCACAGGGATCAGTTCTGGGTCCGATTCTGTTCAATATCTTCATCAGTAATTTAGATAATGGCATACAGAGTACACTTATAAAGTTTGCAGACGATACCAAGCTGGGAGGGGTTGCAAGTGCTTTGGAAGATAGGATTAAAATTCAAAATGATCTGGACAAACTGGAGAAATGGTCTAAAGTAAATAGGATGATATTCAGTAAGGATAAATGCAAAGTACTCCACTTCGGAAGGAACAATCAGTTGCACACATATGAAATGTGAAATGACTGCCTAGGAAGGAGTACTGCGGAAAGGGATCTGGGGTCATAGTGAATCACAAGCTAAATATGAATCAACAGTGTAACACTGTTGCAAGAAAAGCAAACATAATTCTGGGATGTATTAGCAGGAGTATTGTAAGCAAGACACGAGAAGTAATTCTTCCGCTCTACTCTGCACTGATTAGGAGTATTGTGTCCAGTTCTGGGCGCCACATTTCAGGAAAGATTGGAGAAAGTCCAGAGAAGAGCAACAAAAATGATAAAAGGTCTAGAAAACATGACCTATGAGGGAAGATTGAAAAAATTGGGTTTGTTTAGTCTGGAGAAGAGGAGACTGAGAGGAGACATGATGATAATTTTCAAGTACATAAAAGGTTTTTACAAGGAGGAGGGAGAAAATTGTTCTTCTTAACCTCTCTGAGGATAGGACAAGAAGCAATGGGCTTAAATTGCAGCAAGGGCAGTTTAGGTTGGACATTAGGAAAAACTTCCTAACTGTCAGAGTGGTTAAGCGCTATAAGAAATTGCCTAGGGAGGTTGTGGAATCTCCATCATTGGGGATTTTTAAGAGCAGGTTGGACAAACACCTGTCAGGGATGGTCTAGATAATACTTAGTCCTGCCTTGAGTGCAGGGGACTGGACTAGATGACCTCTTGAGGTCCCTTCCATTTCTATGATTCTATACTTCAGAAGCTGTGATTCTTATATTTTTGCAGGACACACGAATTCTGGTTTCATGCAACAGGACATTAATTGATACCACAGTTCACATAGTGGTCCTTCTCCATACTACAAAAGTATTTTCAAATTTAACATGTCTAATGCATCTTATTGTCTCATTGTTTGTGCTTATACATTTTAAATGGGTGGGAGTTAAGGTACAGAAAGTCACAATGAGTCATAAGAATTAGATACTATAGAAACAGTATTCTATAACAATAGTTACCTGAATGTGTAAAATATACAATTTAAATACATTTGTACATGCAAACAAATACATTTATCACCTACCCATGTATTATAAAGAAAAAGGCTGAACATTTATCTAGAGGGAGCTTGATTGCAACTGATCCACTTCAAGCTCTCAGTTTCTTTCTCTGTTCTAAAAACTAAGCTATTTTTTCTGAATTGGTAGAAGATGGAAGCCAGAATGAACAGAGAGAAAGAAGTATGACAGAAGGAATCATTTTGGTTTTATGAGATTAAAATAATATAATGACTGTTGAAATAAAGATTTAAGAGCAGTATCAGTGAGTAATTTTCCTTAAAATTAAATTTTTTCCATAATAAACCCCTAATACAGTTTCTTGCCCATTTTCAAATTGCATGGTGTAGAAATTTGGCAGTAAAGTTGGTGGCTTGGTTGCTGTTATTAAGATCAAATAACAGATTTCTCTTTTAAAAAAACCAAAACCATATTGTAAATGTTAAGCCATTTTAAGTGTGGAGCAGCGAACACATGACTGTGACTCAGTTTTCAGGATGAAAACACTATTCTTTCTTTTTGATCTTGTAGGATAAAGATACTGTAGTTTGTTTCTGCAGTGTATTTGTGACCTATTCACAAATAAACATTGGTGCCATCTCTAACTTCTCTCATGTATCATTTTTTGATTGTAGGCGAATCCTGAGTAGTGTTGAAAAGAGCAGACAAAAGTATAAACCTGCTTCCCTCACAGTGGAATTCATCCCTTTCTTTTACCGTAAGTACTATTGGCAGTGTGTGTGTTACTGATCACCTTTCAAGGAACAAACTTCTTGGTGCCATAGTTCTAGTCCCACTGTAAACATTTGATAAGTGCCAAAAGCTGCCTGCTTCCTTTCCAAGGTGAGGACTTATTGAAGTTTGCCCTGTCTCTTTTTGTACCTAAGAATTTGGCTTTGTTTGGAGTGCCATCATCATGCCATCCTCATCCGTGGTATTGTGGACTTTCTCAGTCTGGATCTTTCAAGCATTTTCATGGTGCAGCATACCATATTTTAACGAAGAGATGGTCTCATGACTCACCTACTGTATCCTATACTGTTGCACATGCAACCTGCCTTTCCATGTGTGTTCACATAACATTGCTGTGGCAACAGCAGAAGTTATGGCATGGAAAAGTAATATTAGGAGAGTATTTATATATTTTCAGTTGCCTCTTATGTGTTTTAGCCACTGGAAACAAGAAAAGCCAGAACCACGTAACCATCAAATGCTCCTTGGACCATAGTTTGGTAACGTCTGTGCTAAGCTATGTTTCTTCTGGTCAACTGTGTAATTTAGATTTCAAACGTTCTTAGCGTTACAAATGGCTTCAGGAGAAATCAAAAGGGGAGGGCCTCAAGAGGCATGTACTGTATTTTGATACACCATTACATAGACAACTGTGTCTAGGACATACAGTAATTGTAGGACACTCTACCAAGTTTTGTCCTGTTCTCTAAAGGTAGGAAGAACTATGCAAAGGAGCTTTGTGGATGAAGGGCAACAGAATATCCCGAACTCAATGCTCTGAATTGTTAAATGCCCTCAGCTGCATGTGGCCAAAGCATTTGTTGATATCGCATAACTGCCAATAATTGCCTTCTCTGTTAGTTTATATCTACTGATAGATGAAACCTCCAATGTTCTGCTCTTGTCGGAGATACTTTTTTTAGCCATCTCTTAGGCTTTGTCTACACTAGAAAGGGTTTGCATGGCACAACTATGCCAGCAAGTGCAGGTGCAGCTTGTACCAGAAAAAATAGTTATTTTGCTGGTATAGTTTATATCAGTTCCCCAAACAAAATAAGCTGTACTGGCAAAAGGACACTTCTGCTGGTACATCTGTGTCTACATTAGCACTTTTGCTGACATAGGTTGTTGGTTAGGGAGGGTGTTTTTTCCCCCCCTCTCCACACTTCTAACTGACATAGCTATGCTAACAAAACTTTTAAGTGTAGACCAACTGTCTTCTGCCTTCTAAAACCGTTTTTCTCAGATTTTGTTCAGATAGTTCTTCATATTAATAATTTACAGCAATAAGGTTTTTCTTTTTATGCATAAACAAGAAAATGATGCAGTAACTCCTCACTTAACGTTGTAGTTATGTTCCTGAAAAATGCGACTTTAAGTGAAACGATGTTAAGCGAATCCAATTTCCCCATAAGAACTAATGTAAATAGGGGAGGTTAGGTTCCAGGGCAGCTTCCCCTACTCTGCAAGCACCAGGGGCGGGGGCCTCAACCCTCAGCCTGCCCACTCCACCCCTTCCCCCAAACCCCCCCCCCTGACCCCCCTCTTCCCCCCCCCCCCCCCCCACCTCCTCCTCCTTTACTTCCCACGCTGCGTCCTGGCTCCTCCCCCCTCACTCCCCTCCCTTCTAAATGCCGCAAGCCAGCTGATTGCCGCATTTGAGAGGCAGGAGAGGGAGGGGGGAGGCGCGCCGAGTCCTCGCTCCTCCCCCTCCCTCCTGCCAGGGACAATCAGCTGGCTTGCCGTGTTTGGGAGACAGGGGAGGGAAGGGGAGCCTGCGCGCCGAGTCCTCGCTTCTCCCCCCTCCCTCCTGCCTCCAAAACGCCACAAGCCAGCTGATTGCAGCGGGGAGGAGGGGAAAGGTGCTGATCCGCGGGGTCTGCCGGCGGGCGGGAGGCACTGGGGGGGAGGGGGCATAGGGAGGCTGCCAGCTGTGGAGAAAGCAGGCAGCCAAACAACGTAAGAGTGGAGCATTGCACAACTTTAAATGAGTATGTTTCCCTAATTGATCAGCAATGTAACAACGAAACAACGTTAAGCGGGTCGACTTTAAGTGAGGTGTTACTGTATGCTGTACATGAAAGTTTAAAAAAAGAAAAAAAAAAGCTGCATATGCAGTGGATGTAATCTCCCTGTTTTAGGCCCAGATTCAGGAAAGCCTCTTTATTCAGGACAGTGGAGATTGAATTGAATCCAGTGGAGCTTAAGTGCATACCTAAGTGCTGTCCTGATTTGGTGCCTTAATGAGTGCTCCCTTACATTTCTTTCTGATAATAATAAAATCAATAAATCCTTGTGAACAAATCTCCGCTGTTGCCCAGTTCATTTATCCACCCATCAAACTTCCTTGAATAGTTGAAGACAAGTTTTGTGTTTCTTCATTCCTCATAAGAAGGAATTGATGGTAGAGGCAGTTACTGCCTATTATGCCTCCCCAGCGGGTAAGAGGAACAACTCGCATATGAGTCATATTCTAAGGTTGAGGTGTTTCAGCTTAATCATGGGCACAAACCATGTATTGAAGAGTGTGGATCTGGTATAAATGCTACCTTCTGTAAACAATGATTGCAGGTAATTCTTTTTTTTTCTTTCTTTCTTTGTATGTATGGCAAAATGCACTAGTATGTAAGAGCAAAAGAGAGTGCTTAGAATGAACTGGGAGAAATAAAAATAGCTACCAACAGTTCATCAGGTTGGAGTACTTCTCCATACACTGTTAAAGTGGGCTGATGGTTTTAGTATATGCTTGGCATTAATGTTAAGCTATTTCCTCTTACATAGATGTTGTTTTTTGTTTTAGCCTGCATTGAATTATTCTAGTATTTTTCATTTGTTTTTTGTTTGACTATTCAGGCACTTTAAAAGTGACATTTTAACTGCTGGAGTGTGACATTATTGGAAGTTTCTCACAGGGCTAATTCCAAACAAAATAATCCTTTGTGGTTTTGGTTGTAGCTACTCTGTGTGTCTAAGGTTATTGCTATAGCAACAACTTCCAGGTTAACATTTACTGCTCAGAAAAATTCCTAAGGCTATTTGTAAGTGGTTTATGTCAAGTTATGGTATGAACAAAGATGCAGGACAATGGGCCTGTGCATACCGCTATTGCAATCAATAGTTTTCCCAGTGACTTTTTAACCGGAGCAAGATCAGGCAGTTTGGGACTGATCCAGCTGTACTGAGCCTTTCCATATTGGATTTTTTTAAGCTTGTTTATAAGTGGTACTTCACTTTCTTTTGAGGAGAGAGATTAAAAGATATGAGTCTCCTTATTTTGGGATACACAAATGACTTTTTCCTCTTATTTCAATAGAATGCTTTCAAGAAAGTGAACATCTCAAGGAGAGCCTGAAGTGTTGCCTGCTACATCTCTTTGGAGCCATTGTGGCTGGTGGACAGGTGAGGAGAATATTGAAAAATATTATAAAGTAATCTCAGCTATTACAATGTGTAGGGTTCATCTTCTGTTCCTCATGTAAATTTTATGGTTTATGGAATATCGGGTATCTATCAAAAGACAAGTGTGTATTGCAGAACAGACTGTATCAACAGTTGACTGTGGATTAGTTGGTTGTGTGTGTTACCGGGATTGGGACTCCATTGTGCTTAGTGCTATGTAAGACTATTAAGAGACAGTTCCTGCCCCAAAGAGTAGTCGGGAATTGTAATAACTGTGTATGCACGTGTGTATATGTGTTCTCCTTCCATTGACATAGCTATCACGGAGGTGAATTAACCACACCAGCGGGAGAAACTCTCCTGTTGGCGTAGTAGCATCTTCACTGAAGCGCTACAGCTGCACCGGTGCAGTGGTGCTGACACAGCATTTTAAGTGTAGACCTGCCCTAAAACTATATATGTTCTTCTCTGCTGGCACAATGAGCATAGCGTACTAAATTAAAGGAGTGTTTGTGTCTGCTCGGTGCCAAGAAATTTAGAAAGGAGTACAAGAATAGACTGGAATTGCAGTGTACTTACAGGAAATCATTTGGTCTGGCATTGCTGAGGAAGGAATTTGAAGTATACCTGTGCAGCATAAATGGCACAGAATATATGGGTGGGGAAGGGAAAGGGAAATGAGATCAGATGAAGAGTGCGATTAATCACTGATTTGAATTTGATTTGAACATCAGTCTCCTGTTCAGAATTTCTCAGATATAGCTTAAAAAAAATATTGCTGTCTGAGCACGTGATACTATAATGTGTCATGCCCATTCTGTCAAGTCATGTGATATGTCAGTGTTCAAAAGCAGCCTGTTAGCCAGGACTTGGCATGAGTGAGCACCGTTTTAATCTTTTTTTTAATAACTGATAGGAGGGAAGTATGGGAATTTCTTTTTTTTCTGTGCAAGTCTAGTCCAGTACAATCTGACTGCAAATTGTAAGAAGACACATGTCGAGGCAGAATAAGGCACTTCGGTGCTTATCCAGTTTATCTTGTAAAAGGTTGACAGAGAGCACTGTGTCTTTAGACTAGTAATCCAACCTCAAAAAAAGAAAATCAATTCTCCATGAGCAAAGAGAATTTACATGGCCCTCGGTGACCACTGTAATACAGTATGTACTCCAATCACAGATAAAGATTGCTCTGGGTAATACAGGAAGGTTAGTGTTCTTAAGATGTTTATCATTAGTTAATTCTATTTTAGGTTGAAATTCTGAACTAATTGAGAAATTTGGGGATATGTGAAAACAGGGGTCTGTATGAAAGTTTGAACTTAAACTCTAAATTCTGCTAAGGCAAAAGATGTATTACACAATAGAATATGTATATTATCAGTATCACTTTGAATAATTCAAATGCACACTAAAATTAAAAGCCTGCAACCAAAATAAGTATCCCTTTCATGTTGAAGTCAATGTATATTAGACATATAGCTAAAGAATATTAATTTAAAAACAGGAATTAAAAAAAAACCAAAAATCTTAATCTCCCCTCACACCAAACCCTGCTATTACAACTTTAAGGTTACAGACTTAAACACAAAAAAGTTAAGATATGCAAAAACTGAGGTTTAGAGATTGCGTACATTTATGTATAAAATGAGTGGGTTAATATTACTAGAAAAATATTTTTTGCATTTATTTCAGAATATTTTTATAAAAATATGTAACCCTAACGTGTCATTAACAGGCTTTTTTTCGTCTCTACATACATTATGTATTCACGATATATAGTGCCAAATTCTGCTTTTCACCTGTAAATATACCCTTTGAAGCCATTAGGCCTAATTGAGTGGAATGCCCAGAATTTGGCCCAAAATCTATATTGATCAACACAACCATAGTTGACTGAGGAGATAAATTAACAATGCTCTTATTGGTACTATATTTATTAGAGTTCATATATCTTGCATGATTCAAATTGAAACTTGTTGATTTTAAGTATTTGGAAGAGGCTTGATACCCTCAGATTAAAGTACAGTTGTTTTTATTGTGCATTTCAGAGAAATGCTCTTCAAGCCATATCTCCTGCCACCATGGAAGTCTTGATGCGTGTTTTGGCAGACTGTGACACCTGGGATGATAGGGATCCTGAGGAAGTGAGCAGGAAAGCAGAGCTGACTCTTAAGTGCCTGACAGAAGTAGTGCATATCCTTCTCACCAGTAGTTCAGACCAGCGGCAAGTGGAGACCAGTACCATACTGGAGAACTACTTCAAGTTGCTTAATTCAGACCATTCAGCGTTGCCTAACTCCAGGAGATCTAGGCAGTGGGAGAATAGGTTCATTGCACTACAGATCCAAATGCTGAGTGAGTGATACATCCAGACAATTCCTCTAAATGTGTTTTGTTAAAATTTTCATAATTTTTTTTAATGAAGTGATTTAAGCAAGTATAATTATTCAAGTGTGTTTTCACTGTTATTTAGGTAAGAAATTGAATATTTTCTTCTTGTTGGAATTCATTCAAATATGTGCCAATTTGCTTTTAATTAAAAAAATATTAATCACATGTACTGGTTACTTTTTGGCTTAAGGATGTCAGCCTACAAACAGTTTAGGGGCAATGAAAAAAGATTAGAAGATCTAGTACCTGTTTTGGACTTCCATTTAAAAGTTATCATTTGGCAACAGCTTCCACACAACAGTATCTGAGAGATTGCAGCTAACCCCTATACGATAAAAAGGGAATACCTGGAATATTTGAGCTATTCCAATGTGGTAGATATTTGCAATTTTTAGTTGTGTAATTGGAATTATTGCATAGAACCATAGAAATGTAGGACTGGAAGGGACCTTAATAGGTGTCAAAGTCAGACTCAGGACTCACAATTTGTCAGACCACTGTGTTTATTAGCAAAAGCGCTCTGCTAATACACCCAGATGATGTGAGTGCCATGCAAGGCCCAAACTACCTTATTTATACAGATAAAAAGGACGTGAACCTAACAAGATGACAAAGGGAGCAGAACTGATAAGTTTACCTGGGGCTAGACACACACATCTTATTTCCTTATTAACTCTTACCGATCTCCTGTTAGTGTCCCACCATCAGCTTAAGTGGACCCATTGTTCAATACCTTAATGTTTCTCTTCCTGTCAACTTTATCTCAACATTCCTTATTCCTGCTTAAAGGAACATACAGCATTTCTTTAATCCATTCTACTTTTACAATATAATTCATTCTACTTTCTTCACATAGGTTATCTAGTCCAGTCCCTTGCACTGAGGCAGGACTAAGTTTTATCTAGACAATCCCTGACAAGTTCTTGTCTAACTTGTTTTTAAAAACCTCCAGTTATGGAGATTCCACAGCCTCCCTAGGTTACATACCTTAGATGAGACAATAGCCTTAAACCATAGGATATAATTCATTGGTTAACATTTATTTATTATTTGTATTTTTTAAAGTTGATGTAGAGAATGGGGAGATGTAAATAAGGCATTTCTTGCCCACCAATACTTTCATTTTCTCAACATTTTGATATCAGTATGGATGATACTGACTGTTGGCAAACAAAATAAGACTGCTTCAGAATGTTGAGGAATAACTGGTTGATGAGGAAGCAAATATTTATACATGTTTTAAATAAGAAGGCATGCTTCTTATATACGTGAAAATGACAGTGATTTTAAACAGAGCCTCAGAACAATTGACTATATTCCGTAGCTGAAGTTTCCTCCAGATACAGTAGATTACATGTTGGTTTCTGCTGCTTCAGAATGTTTTGCTCAAGGCCTAGTATTTTATGCTGGAATTCACTTCAGTGTTTATCAAAGCATTCATAATTTTTTAACTATGGTTCTCAGTGCATAAAATTTTTCCATGGAGCCTTCTATGTAGTGTTTCTAAATTTGTCAGCAGTATAATGTTAAAAAAAATGCTTAAGGATTAGTGTAACTATTTATTTTTGTGATTTTTATTTTTATTTTGATAGACACCATCACAGCCATGTTAGACTGCACTGATAGGCCTGTTCTGCAGGCCATTTTCCTTAATAGTAACTGCTTTGAGCATCTCATCCGACTGCTGCAGAACTGCAAGGTACATTCCATTATTATTAACTTCTTATTTCTGATCTCAACAAAATGTTGGGCTTCTTGTAAGAGTTCAGTTGTGTAAATCATCTTTGTATCTTGGCTCTAAATTAAATATAATCCTTTTGAGTATCAAGTATTGGACTTGTACCACTGACCTGGTGAATGTTTCAGAAGCTATAAATATGTGTAATTTATGAAGTAGAAGTACATCTTGTCTTCCAAATATATTAACCATGCTTGTATTGATAAGACATTGAGTAGTGAATGCTCACAATTTCTCTGAGAAATGCTTGTATATACTCTAATCTGTCTCTAAATTTTGTTTAGCTTGGTGTCAGAATCAATCTTTCCTACTATGAGAAGTCACTTATAACTGTTAGCAGATGGTGGATTGATTTCTAATGTCAGGGATGCATTTCTCCATTTCATAGAATCATAGAAGATTAGGGTTGGAAGAGACCTCAGGAGGTCATCTAGTCCAACTCCCTTCTCAAAGCAGGACCCAATCCCCAACTAAATCATCCTAGCCAGGGCTTAGTCAAGTCGGGCCATAAAAACCTCCAAGGATGGAGATTCCACAACCTCCCTAGATAACCCATTCCAGTGCTTCACCATCCTCCTAGTGAAATAGTGTTTCCTAATATCCAACCTATACCTCCCCCACTGCAACTTGAGACCATTGCTCCTTGTTTTGTCATCAGCTGCCACTGAGAACAGCCTAGCTCCATCCTCTCTGGAACCCCCCTTCAGGTAGTTGAAGGCTGCTATCAAATCACCCCCACTCTTCTCTTCTGCAGACTAAATAAGCCTACTTCCCTCAGCCTCTCCTCATAAGTCATGTGCCCTAGCCCCCTAATCATTTTTGTTGCCCTCCACTGGAGACTCTCCAATTTGTCCACATCCTTTTTGTAGTGGGGGGCCCAAAACTGGACTCAATACTCCAGGTGTGGCCTCTCCAGTGCCAAATAGAGGGGAATAATCACTTCCCCCAATCTGCTGGCAATGCTCCTACTAATGCAGCCCAATATGCCTTTAGCGTTCTTGGCAACAAGGGCACACTGTTGACTCATATCCAGCTTCTCATCCACTGTAATCCCCAGGTCCTTTTCTGCAGAACTGCTGCTTAGCCAGTCGGTCCCCAGCCTGTAGCAGTGCGTGCGATTCTTCCATCTTAAGTGCAGGACTCTTCACTTGTCCTTGTTGAACCTCATCAGATTTCTTTTGGCCCAGTCCTCCAATTTGTCTAGGTCACTCTGGACCCTATCCCTACCCTCCAGCATATCTTCCTCTCCCCCCCCCAGCTTAGTGTCGTCCGTGAACTTGCTGAGGGTGCAATCCATCCCATCATCCAGATCATTATTGAAGATGTTGAACAAAACCGCCCCCAGGACCAACCTCTGGGGCACTCCGCTTGATACCGGCTGCCAACTAGACATCAAGCCATTGATAATTAACCGTTGTGCCCAACGATCTAGCCAGTTTTCTTTAAAAAAAAAAAAAAATCACTGGTGTTCAGTTGCAAGGGTTTCAGAATACTTGGTCTGAATTCCTGCATAGCTGAGATTAGGAATGAGCTTAATTTGTTACAAAATGCTCTTCTTGGATGCCTATTCTTTTTAGAAGGGACATAGTATTCATATTTCCTACTTTCTCTGATTCCATATTAATCCCAGATGACCACTGATTGTAAGCCAGCGCCTTTCACTGAAGTTGTTATGCTTTTATAAGATGAAATTTTTCCCAAATAAAAAACTACATATGAATACTGCGTAACCTGGAGTTTCATATTTCATTTCTGTTTTGTTTTCATAATGCAAACTGTTGACGTGGCTGTATTGAACACTTCTAGATAATTTAATGCTAGCTACAATGTGTGAATTATTGTACAGTATTCCATTTAGTTAGAAAATATTTGAATGCAACAGTACTTTAAAATGCCCACATGTAAATTTTGATCTAGTCTTTCTTACATTGATTTAAGTCAGGGACAAAATTGGGAACCATATCGAGTGTGTTGTATAGTGTTTGTTTGTGCTTTTAAGTTCTTTTAAAAGTACATTATTTGGCCTTACCAAGGTTTTTTTGCACTTCCTTTTGGGAATCTGTACCTGTTTCTGTACTGATCTTACACTTTTTGCAATGCTGCTATAAAAGAGAGATTTATGTTTTTCTATCCCGATTCTTACATTATCATACGATGTTATTATTTAGCTGGTTCATGGGCACTCTAGGCCTGCTCCTACTCCCACTGATGTCAATGGCAAAACTCTCATTGACTTCAAGGCCAGCAGTATTATGACCTGTGTTTTAACCATTCTTCTCTTCTTGAGTTTCACTCTACCCTTTTGTCATCAGAACTCTTCACCGAGTCAGACTTCTGTATTGTATATTGGCTTGTATATTACTACTATTATTACACAGAGGGGTTCTTTGGTGTTGTCAAATTTGTGCAAGTGTTTTGCTTTTTTACACTCTAAATGACCCCAAGGACAAGGTCATGTGTTTTCCACGTATAGTACAACGCTCTACAAAGATGAAGTCAGTTGTGAGGCTAGTACACTTCTTTTGTCAAATGCCTCCACTAACCAGGTAGAATCTTGCTAAAAATATTTTTTCCTCATTCTTGAAAATCTGCCACACTTCTAGGTTTGCTAGTGACACCCCCAATGTATAACACCACAGATAACAGAAGAGTCAGCGGTTGTTCTTGACACAATAGAATGTGTTGTGTGTCTATGAACCTGGAGACTAGGAGACTTGCAGAGAGGGGAGGGAGTAAAAAAAGAAATCAAAACTGATTTCTGTTGTGAATACTCCCAGGAGCCACATAATAGAGGCATATTTCTGATCTTACCTCAAAATTGTCTTCAGCTTTGCAGATCGTCTTCAGAGAAGATAGATGAACTTCAGCTAAAGAATTCAAAGCTAATGGAAGAGAGATGTCTTCTCTTTACTCTTCTTTGGGGCTGGGGACCCAAAACATACGGTTTTTTGAAAGCTGTTCAGCCAGTTCAGATGTTGATCTGAAGCCCAGTTTATCTGATCTGAAGCCCAGTTTATTCAGGGCTGTCCCCTGGAATGTTGAGGTAACTGAGGTCTCACTTTATAGCTGTTGAAAGGGGTTTTATTGGTACACTAAGAACATCTGACATTGCTGCTTCATGTATCTTGAACGTTTTATATTGATGGGAAACTTTCCTTAAAAATAGATCAAATTTGAAGAATAGCAGTGGTTACTATGCCCAGCCTTATGTGGGCTAAAGAAAACATTATTCTTCTATGAATCGTTTTCTGGATACAAGAATTCAAAACCAGAGAGAGCCATCTACTTGGGCCTTTTAATAAATCCATGGTTTTAAAATCTCTAGTTGCTTATTTTTCTTTTCTATATGTCTGTTATGGGAAATGAGTTAGAATGAGTTTGTTTTTTCTATGTCTGTTCTTGCCTCCTGTTCATAATTAAATCTTCAGTTGCTAATGCTGTAATTCGCTCCCCATATTATAGCTATTTTGCAGTGTTAACAAAAGTATAACAGCTTTGGTCATGACAGATGCCTTTCAAACTAAGCAGTGTTTCTAACTTTGTCGGGTTTTTAATACTTTTGTAATGCAGAGTAGTATCTTTGATTGTTGTCCTGTGTTTGCCTTTGATTATTGACAATCTTCAGTGAGTACGAAAGAAGTGGTTTTAAAAAAAAGATTTTGCATACCATTTCATTTTTCTGATGGATATTTTCTCTGAAAAGTGACAAGCTGTCACTCTCCTCTGTTTTCAAAAGTCTTTTTTTTAATTACTTGGTCTGGAAAACTATGTATTTCTAAGAGCCTCTTGACTCGCAATCTAAAAGCAGAAGAGGGCAAAGCTTCAGAATAGATCCAGCTTTGGGTGACTGAGTTCAAGTTCTTGCCAAGCTGCCAACTCATCAGGATGACTGAAAATTTCCCCCAGTCCTTCCAGTCTTGAAGATTGTGTCCCTCACAAAGCTGCTGCCATCGCTATCTCTGGAGTCTGAAGTGTTGTACAGCAGGCTTCTCTAGATTGGTGGTGTCACTTCAGCCCTCCTACAAGATGAAACATAAGTAGAGAAACTAGGAGGCTGTGCTTCCCTCTTCCCTTCGCGTTTCTAATGTCTTACAGTTGTCCTCCCTCCTTTTTTAATGTGAATGTTGAGAGCCTCCAGTCCTGCACTTAGTTACCATGCATCTAAGAACACTAAGGGTACGTCTATACTTACCTCTGGGTTGGGCGGTAAGCAATCGATCTTCTGGGATCGATTTATCGCGTCTTGTCTAGACGCGATAAATCAATCCCGGAAGTGCTCGCCGTCGACACCGGTACTCCTGCTCCGCGAGAGGAGTATGCGGAGTCGACGGGGGAGCCTGCCTGCCGCGTGTGGACCCGCGGTAAGTACCTTGTAGTTCGAACTAAGATACTTCGACTTCAGCTACGTTATTCACGTAGCTGAAGTTGCGTATCTTAGTTCGAACTGGGTGGTTAGTGTGGACCAGCCCTAAGCTAGTAACAAAAATAACTTGTAATTAGTACTGTTTCCATGTCTCAGCAATTACATCTTTTGGTTTATTTCTGGAAAACAGAATAAGCTAATGAATGTTTAACAATAGTTTGATGTAATATTGGAAGAATTAACAAAAGACTGATATTTGTTAAGAATTGTGTAACTCACCAGTGTGAGATCATGCATGCTGTATGTGAAACATAAATTCATCCCAGGCTTCACGATATTAGCTGCCGGTAATGTTTAATGCACCTCTTTCCATTATTCTTGTCTCTGTTTCTAACAGCTGTTTTTAAATGCTAACAATAAGGTGGCAGACAAGAGTGAAAAAGACCTTGCCAACAAATTACTGACAGAAATGAATGAGGACCAGGTACCTACACAATTTTGCTTCATTTGAAGCCAAGACAGAGTAGCAGTCAGTGGGAAAAGTGATTCCTGTACTTTACCTTATCCATCCTCCTGAAACTGCTGCAGCTGGATGAATTCAGACTGCTGCACAGACCTATGCATGTTGTCTTTGGAAAGTAATCTTTTATGATAAGCAAATTACACCCATGACTTCACATGTATGGAGATGCTTCAAGTTGTAGGTATTTTAAAAATATTAAGTACAAATTTTGCTCCTTTTAATCTGAGGAGGGTGAAGTACAGGAATAGAATCCCAGTATCAATGCTATCAACCTGGTGCTGATTTCGTTTTTTCTTTTTTGCTTCTGTCTCAGCACGGTGGTCTATTGGGTTCTGGGGCTTTGTTTGTGAATCTGTATGGTTGTAGTTGATGTCCTGATTCTTTGCTTGTCATCAAGAACAGATGTTCACAATACAATGGACAGGCTGAATGTGGGAGGTGAGAAGAGTCTGTTGTCTTGAATTTCCATTAGCATCATGGAAAACATCAAATGCAAATTCTTATTGTATCACTCCTTATAGGAGTATGGAGATTGTTACTGATTTGTTCTCATTTAAATAGATAATGCAGTGCTGAGCACATGAAAGTATGTAGTCTAGAAATCTTGATTCTGTTTAAAATAGCCAATCCTGTTGGTAACTCAGTGTGAGGATCTGCACGTAAACATTTATTCACTAACTTCTCATTGTCCAATATGCAATATATTAGTTCAGAGACTGTCACATGGAGTCTGTTCATTTGCATAGTTCCACTGGTCAAGTTTACAAAGGGACCTGCTGATATATGGCACATAATTTTCTGTTCATAAATTATCATGAAAAATATCAGTATTCAGAGGAATTAACTAATAGAAAACATAAAAGGAAAAGAATTATTTGAGACTCATTTGGTTTGAAAGTAGAGTGTCATCCTCTAGGATGGATGTAAGAGGCAATGAAGTTATTGGGCAGTGCTGGTATAACTAATCACTTCTAGTGTGTGTGTGTGTGTATTGCTTTGGTGTGTGCAGGAGCCTGCACTGAGATTAAAATGATGTTCATCTCCATTTGTTAAAGAACTGATTGTCAGAAAGCTATATACTCTGCAGTGCACACATACACTACAAGGGGTTGGTTACTTTCTTTTCCTCCCTCCCTCTTGAGATTGTCCATTAACAGCATGAGGAAAATTTGTACATTTGTCCATCAGAACCTTTTATTGTAATGTGTGTGAACGCTTCTTTCCTCCTCTTGAACTACATGGCTAGTTTTCTGTCATTGTGTCCTTTCTTGTAGGTTGTGGTGTCATGAAATCCATGTTGGTGGGGAGATGATTGTAAAGCATGTTAATTAACTTTGATTTTCATCCTGGCAGAAGTGCACAGAGTATCCTTCAGAGCAGAATACTATTTAATATGTTTGTAAGTAACACCTGTCTCTGCTGCTTTCAGGTGTTTCAGGGACAACTAGACTGCTTGGCAGTATCCACCATTCAAGCCCTTACAGCAGTGTTGCACAAATCTCCAGCTGCGAAGGTAAGCATACATATGCATAGGTCTGTTTATGGCAGCCATCTTTCTCATTTCTCGTTCAACATTTTAATGTAAAACCTTGAAGAATTGTTTATTATTATTAATTATTATTATTATTGACAGCAGGCCCCAACCAGATCAAGAAACCCTTTGTGCTTTTCTTCCTCATGCTCCTCTTATGGACTACATCATCATTTGGGCTGGACATTAATTTAATTTTATGTAAAGTTGGAACATGATTTCTGGGATTAGAGCTAATTTGATTGGTTAATAAAAACCAGAAACTTTAAAAACTGAGTGTAAAGTAATATTCTCTGACAACTTTTCCTGCAATGAAAATTGCGCTAAGTCCCATGAATGTTTGAAGGGGCACCTACATACTCCGCATTTTAAGTGAATTTTTCAACAGTGACTTTTTTTCCTCTCGCTACTTTATTCCAGAAGCACTTCACATAAAATCCTGTTTCTTCCAACAAATTCACTCATATTTAAAAACGCGTTTTCCACATCGTACAGATAACAATTGAAAATACCCATGCAAAGAGAAGGGAATTCACTTAATAGGATGTAACTGCTGTTCATTAACTAATAAGTAGATGTATATAACTGTGTAGATTTTACTGCTTGAGAGTTGTTTTCCATAAATTCAGTGCAAGGTAACCAGTTTTCAGAATACTTTCCCATATTTAATAAAGTTTCTACCTCAAATATTTCTCAAATATTATTAAATCAAGACATTTTTCTAGGAGAATGATTATAATGATTAAAAATGATTATATACTACTTCAGCTTCTGCACCTACTTGTGTTCGTTTTCATCTTTTTCTGTAGGTTCAACTAAATAATAAAACAATTGGTATTTTTTAATAAACTAAAAAGACTAACATTTTGAAATATATTAAAACAATTGTACTGGAGATTTTGTTTATGGTTTATAACAAGTAAAATAAAGCTCTTCTCTGTGCCTGTGTACTTCTGTTGTAATTTGCCAGCTAGAATTAAAACATTTATTAAGCTACAGAATATATTTTTGCATGACATAATATTATATGCAATAGTGTCATGAATCTATAACTATAAGGCTAATCCAAAACTCGTTGAAGTCAATCAAAAGACTATCCTTAACTTCTTTAGTCTTTAGATAAGGTTTGTAGTATGTTCTCATAAAGGGTAACATAACAATAAAGCTAGTTTTGTGTTAATGAGATCCTATGAATGCAGGTAAGTAATTAGCCACTAGAGTTAGTTGTGTCTGTCTCTTTTATTATCCCCAACAGAAGTTGGTCCAATAATTACCTCCTCAACCTGTTCTCTCTAATATGCTGGACTGACACAGCTACACCGGCACTGCATACTTTTCTTAATGTTACTATTTTTTTTCCTCTTCAGGAGGTCTTTAAAGAGAGGATTGGTTATGCACATATCTATGAAGTACTAAAATCTCTGGGTCAGCCCTCACGAGAGTTGCTAGAAGAACTTATGAATATGGTGAGACGTGTGCTTGCTTTGAACATTATCTAAAATGGCTGAACTTCTGGACAACTTTTCTGCCCCTATTTTGTTGTAGTAGGCCAGTAGTTCATCTTTGTGTTCTATACTCTTTTTTTCCAGGCTGCTGAAGGTGATCACGTGTCTGTTGGAATTTTGGGCATTAGTAACGTCCAGCCCTTATTGCTGCTTATCCAGTGGCTTCCAGAGCTAGAGTCACATGACCTTCAGATCTTCATCTCAAATTGGTTGAAGCGAATCTGCTGTATTAACAGGCAGAGTCGTGCCACGTGTGTCAATGCAAACATGGTCATCCGCGTCATTGAGACATTAAACTTCCACTCTTCACTCCATCGCACTTGTGCTGAGAACCTGATTGGCCTCCAGGGTTCTTTGGGAAGTCAATCAATGAGCTCTGAAGAACTGCATCGACTAATACGACTCTTGAGGACTAATGAACCAAAGCAGTCTCACCCTTACGTCATCCCTGTGATGCGTGCAATTCTGGCAATGGCTCGGAAGCAAGGCCTGGACAGTGCCATGCAATATTTCAACTTGTCCCCCAGCATGGCAGGAATTGCTGTGCCACCTATTCACAAATGGCCAGGCTCTGCATTTTCCTTCAATGCTTGGCTATGCCTAGACCAGGACCAAGTTACACCTGACATCACCAGCAAGGGAGGAGGCAAGAGGAAGCAACTATACAGGTATGCTTGCTGTGATTACTTTGTGTGGAAGAACATCTCTTGGTAATCTGCATCCCATGGCATATGTGGTAGCGATGCTTATATTTATATAGCACATTTCATACCAAAATACTTGATAAATTGAATATCGGTTGAGTTTGTAAACAGGAATAGCTTCATCCACCACCGAAGACATGACTATACTACAGGAATAGCCATGCAAATGCATGGTTAAGGGTTTCTGTATTGGAACAATTATACTGCTAGTGTGTATAGGAAGGTGCAATTCTATAACTATATTAAGATTAAATTATTTGGGTAATGCATATTAACATATGTTTTCTCATCCATGATGGCATTAAAAAAAGAAAAAAGGACCCCCTAATTGTGACAGGTAACCATGCATTAGTATAGTTCTTGTCGTGTATAGGGGCCATAAAATATAACTGCCTCTGATTTTAACACAGGTGTTCAATAGCAAACAAGTGCAAAAATTCAGGATAATATCTGAAAAATATCCTTTTCTAACTGGAACTGCAGGGGGAAATTTCTGAGTTTGGAATTTGGCCAAGACACCACTTTAACCCTTTTCTCATATAAGCAATGCCATAGATTGACTCGTTTTAAGATATAAAGGACCACTTCTGATTATTATCTGAACTACAGGCCCTCCAGCAGCACAGCGCTCCAGAATATCATGCTGGGGTATTAGTATAGTACTGACTTGGTTAAAAGTGCCACCTGCTTAACTCCCAACACCATTTCTTTTATTTTTTTAAAAAGGTCTCCCATTCAAATCCTGGCCTAAACCCGCATAGTTTCTGAAATCTAATGGTATTATAGCATAAGGAGAAATGGCTGCAGCTGCATTTGGACTTGATGGTTCTAGAATAGTAGTTTGCATGTTTAGTCATTAAATTGAATTTAGAATATGATGTATTCTAGTGTGTGGTGGAGAAGAGGGTATCCTATGTTACGCTGCATATCCTACTCGCCAGATAGGGATTGGTGTTGGCTACTCAGATGAAGTTCTAAGATTCTTGATTGAAGGGAATATAATAGCAAATAGGAAATAGAGAACAAGAATAAATCAATGATTAAAAACACAGGTGGTTACTTTACTTTGTTTCAGTGGAAAATGCTTTTTTAAATATACAACAGAAAAGACTGAGCTAGCTGCTATCTCCATGCTTTGCAGGCTATATGTGCATTATTAGGTGAAGGGCAGACACCATTGATTTCGTCGACTTCATGTACCCACTCTACACACATGCACTGCATTCATCATTTGAAAACTTCTTATGTCTACTTTAAGATGAGGTATGATGTGGAGCTGGCACGTAGTGCCATTACCTTAGGAGTGGGGGCTGAACAATGATGCCATCAACACATTAAAACGACCACTTTGAAATCTTTGCATTTTTTCTATGAGTTTAATGATTCTACGTATTATTTCAAGATGTAAAATTGGATTTCTTTGTGTTCTCAATGCATCACAACAACAATTGCAGAACTGTGGGACTGGAAGGGACCTCGGTAGGTCATCTAGTCCAGTCCCCTGCACTCAAGGCAGGACTAAGTAATAACTAGACCATTCCTGACAGGTGTTTGTCTAACCTGTACTTAAAAACCTCCAATGACAGTGATTCTACAGCCTCCCTAGACAATTTGTTCCAGTGCTTAACTGCCCTGACAGTTAAGAAGTTTTTCCTAATGTCCAATGTAAACCTCCCTTGCTGCAATTTAAGCCCATTGCTGCTTGTCTATCCTCAGAGGTTAAGGAGAACAATCTTTCATCCTCCTCCTTTTTAACAAGCTTTTACATACTTGAAAACTGTTACCATGTCCCCTCCGTCTTTCCTTCTCCAGACTAAACAAACTCAATCTTTACAATCTTTCCTCGTAGGTCATGTTTTCTTTAATCATTTTTGTTGCCCTCCTCTGAATTTTCTCCAGTTTGTCCACATCTTTCTGCAATGTGGTGCCCAGAACTAGATACAATTCTCCAATTGAGGCCTTGTCAGTGTGGCGTAGAGTGGAAGAATTACTTTTCGTGTCTTGCTTACAGCCCTTCTGCTGATACATGCCGGAATGTTATTTGGTTTTTTTTTTTTTTTTATTTTGCAACAGTGTTTCACTGTTGACTCATATTTAGCTTGTGAGCCACTATACACCCCAGATCTCTTTCTGCAGTACTCCTTCTTGGGCAGTCATTTCCCATTTTATATATGTGCAATTGATTGTTCCTTCCTAAGTAAAGCACTTTGCATTTGTCCTTAATGAATTTCATCCTATTTTCTACAGACCATTTCTTTAGTTTGTCCGGATCATTTTGATTTTTAATCCTGCCCTTCAAAGCACTTGCAACCCCTCTCATCTTGATATTGTCCACAGACATTGAGTATATGCTCTATGCCATAATAATTTATGAAGATATTGAACATAACCAGACCCAGGACCAATCCTTGCAATACTCCTACTCCCGAGGGAATTATGTGCCAAAAATTTAAAAATTATGCGCACAATATTTTAAAATTCTGCAAATATTATTTGTCAATAAATAAATGTGGCTCCAGCATGGCAGTGAGGGGCACAGGCCACTGGCTGCATTGAAGTGGAAGATCACCCTGAAGCCCCCACCTCCCCCAGTACAGGGACTCGGCAGTGACACTGCACCTGACCCTGACACAGTGCAAGGGCTGGGCCTGTCCCAGAAACACCCCGGGGCCCTGACCCTCTGTGCCAGGTGCACCAGGTGTGGGTTGGCAGGCTGAGTCCAGCAGGATCCAAGTGTGGAGGGGCTTAGTGTGGGGGAATCCAGGTGTGGGGCGAGAGGTTTCTGTGTGGGGCAATCTGGTTGTGGGCATCTCAGTGGGAGATCTGGATGCACAGAGGCTCGTTGGGGGGTTCTGAGTGCAGGGGCAATGGGACTCTGCAGGGGATCCAGGTGATGGTGGTTGGGCTCAGCGGGGGGGTCTGGGTGTGGGAATTCAGTGTGGGGGGGTTCGGGTGCAGGGGGAGTGAGACTTGATGGAGTGGGGGTCCAGATGCAGCTGGTTGGGGCTCAGTGGGGTGGGGGGTCTGGGTGTAGGGGGGGCTCATCAGAGGGGTCCAGGTGTAGGGGGTCGGGCTTGTCAGTGTGAGGGTTCAGTGGGCCTGCTTAATGGGGGAGCCCCAGCTGCTGCCGAGGGGATTCCACATGCTGGGATCCCGCTTCCCCCATGATTCTCCTATCCCCTTTTCTTCTCCATCCCCCTCACCCCACGCCCGAATTCCCCTCCCCCTGCCCTATTCCACTGCCCTGCCTTCCCCACCCCCTCTTCACCCCCACCCCCTCAGCTCCCTTCCCTCATTTCCCCCACTCCCGCTTACCCAGCTCCACCGCAGGAACTCACTGTTCCACAGAAAATAGGAAGGCTCCCAGAACACAGAAAGGGAGCACAACTGGCAGTAGGACCCAGGAGGCTGCGTTCAGCTGCGGAGTCAGCGGAGCCCGAGACAAGACCCAGCCTCTGAGCTGGGCAGCTCTGCATCTGCAGAAATGAGGAGGGACTGGGGGCAGTGGCATGTAACCCTGTGTGCCCCCCCATGCCTCACCTCTGTTTGGGGGTCTGTCCCCCCCAAAACTGCACACATGGTTCTGCCTCCCCGCCCCCACAAGGCTTCCCTGCCGTTTTCTGCAGGGAAAAGCAGGAAATGTGTGTGTCTGGGGAAACGTACGTTTTCTGCTGCGGGCACGCCGTCCCGCAGAATCCCCCCAGGAGTACAGTCACTGGCACACTTGTATACTTAGCCCCCCCCCCCCCCCCCATGGTGATCACGCAGGCACGCACGTCCAGCCCTCCTCCCCCGTCTCTGAGGCTGCTCCAGGTACATTGGAACAGACGCGCTGCTTGGGCTGCCAGGGAAGAGGCGTGTGTCCCCCGGCAGATTTTTTTTGCATTTTTCTGTGCAGGGGGCACAGAAAAATGCTGGCCACATGAATTCTGCCCAGAACTGGTGCAGAATCCCCCCAGGAGTAATACCCCCACTGGATATGTTCTTCGAGCTTGACTGTGAACCACTGATAACTACTCTCTGGGAATGGTTTTCCAATCAGTTATGCACCCACCTTATAGTAGCTCCATCTAGTTTGTTTATGAGGCAGTCCTGAGACAGTATCAAAAGCCTTTCTGAAGTCATGATATACCATATCTCCTGCTTCCCCCCATCCATAAGGCTTGTTACCCTGTCAAAGAAAACTATTAGGTTAGTTTGACGTGATTTGTTTTGTCATATCCATGTTGACTATTATCCCCTTATTATCTTCTAGGTGTTTACAGATTGCTTGCTTGCTTATTTGCTCCATGATCTTTCCGGGTACTGAAGTTAAGCTGACTGGTCTGTAACGCTACAGGTTATCCTTATTCCCCTTTTTATAGATTGGCACTATATTTGCTCTCTCCCAGTCCTTTGGAATCTCTCCCGTCTTCCATGAGTTTTTGAAGATAATCACTAATGGCTCAGATACCTCCTCAGTCAGCTCCTTGAGTATTCTAGGATACATTTCATCAGGCCCTGGTGACTTGAAGACATTTAACTTGTCTACAAAATTTTTAACTGTTCGTTCCCTATTTTAGCCTCAAGTTCTACCTCATTTTCACTGGCATTCACTATGGTAGACATTTGATCGCTACTAACCTTTTTGGTGAAAACGGAAACAAAAAAGGCATTTAACACTTACATGACTTCCACATTTTTTATTATTGTCTTTCCCCTCTCATTGACTAATGGGCCGACCCAGTCCTTGGTTTTCCTCTTGCTTCTAATGTATTTGTAGAATGTTTTCTTGTTACCCTTTATGTCTCTAGCTAGTTTAATCTCATTTTGTGCCTTGGCCTTTCTAATTTCGTCCCTATAGTCTCGTGTTTGTTTTTTTGTATTAATCCTTCATAATTTGACCTAGTTTCCACTTTTTATAGGACTCTTTTTTGAGTTTCAAATCACTGAAGATCTCCTGGTTAAGCTAGGGTGGTCTCTTG